TGGGTTTTTCATGGATGCATGCCCTTTATCAGATTGGGGAAATTTCTTTGTATTCCTAGTTTTTTTAGTGTTTTTACCATGAAATTTCTTTGTATTCCTAGTTTTTTTAGTGTTTTTACAATTTGCTGGATTTTGTCAAATGCTTTTTTGCATCTAATGAGATGATTATGTGTATTTCATACTTCATTCTGTTGATACTATATATATATATTTTTTTTTTTTTAAGATATTAAACCCACCTTTTCATTCCTGGAAGAAAGCCCATTTGTTTGTGGTCTAGAATCCTTTTTTTTATGTTGCTGGCTTCAGTTTCCTAGTCTTTTGAGGATTTTTGAGTCTGTAGTCATAGGACAGATTAATCTTTGTTTTTGGTGTCAAGTTAATTCTGGCCTCATAGAATGAGTTGGGAAGTGTTTTCTTTTATTCTATTTTCTGGAGTAGTTTGCGAAGAATTGGTATGGATTCTTGTCTAAATATTTGGTAGAAATCACCAAAATCATTTGGTCATAACCTTTTTTCTTTGTAGGTAGTTTTTAAGTTGTAACCTTTTTTCTTTGTAGGTAGTTTTTAAGTTACTAATTCTCTTTTCTTTCATGCTCGTTCATTATATATCCAAATTTTTTATTTCTTCTTGAGTCGGTTTTGGTAGTTTGCATCTTTCCAGGAATGTGTCTGTTTCATCTGTTATCTAATTTGCTGATGCACAGTTCATAGTATTACTTATGATCTTTTTTATATCTGTAAGGTAAGTTGAGATGTCTATTTATAGATCTCTGACCAGTAAATGGTCACTTTACTCTCTCAAAAGAAATTAACCTTTAAATTTGAGGGCCTTTCTAGAGATAGAAAATACAAAGAAACATGAAAAGCAAAAAACTGTGGAGTCCCTGATCGTTGTTGGTAACAGTGAGTAATCAACATCAGCATTAATTCCTGCCTGGCACGGAATACTGAGACAAGCCTTTGGGAAGAAATGATGTTAGGAGTGGGTAGCTCTCTGCTGTCACACTGTCCAAAGAAACGGCTCTGGGTTAAATCCTTTTCCTCGCAACTTGCGGGCTTCCCATAACCTTGAGCAAAACACTTGACCTGATTGTCCAGCTTCCCATCTGAGGGTGGAGACAACGCCACCACTTGCAAGGCCATCGGGCCGTCGTTTTCCGTGCTAGTTCCTCCGCGCTTCTTCAGAAACCTCACATGGGCCAGATCTCATTACACTGAACTCCCGACGGCCGACTGCATTTTTGGATGGTACATTTTTCTCTGATTTTTAAGTTTCTGTCATTTTACAGATTTCGCAATTTGTAAAATGTGTCAAAGCACACCCTTTTATTTTTTAGAATGTAAAGTCTTGAATGCAGGGAAATTTCACACTAAAGCAGTATAGCACCTTCCCAGGCAGCATACGAGAGTTCTAAGCGTGAGATCCCTCAGCGTGGAAGAGATGATTTTCATTTGTGAAAGCGCAGAGAATAAAAGATTTCTGAGTTCAGGACCTCACTCTGACAAGTGCATTCCCATCCTAACCTTGTTTTTACCCTTTGACCAGAAGCCACTGATTGGGTATAATTTTTTTTTTTTTCATGAAAATCTTTGTCTCTTAATAAAACATTTAGACTCCCATTATAGAAATTTATTACAAAAACACTTTGAGAAGGCTATTTACTGCTCCACTAAAAGATATATTGTTAAAATTAAGTGATGTTAGACATCAAATGGAAAAAATGCTCAATTTACTATGAGTTTGAAACATTGTGGCAGTGTTTTATTGTAGATGTTGTAGACAAACCATTAATGTATATATCTCGTTTTGGAAAATACCCTGTATTTTGAAAGAGAAGCTCACACGTGAAAAGCAGTAGGTCGAGCTGGCAGCATCCAGAGCAAAGGCCTGCCGGAGCCGCCATTAAGGAAGTCAGCAGCACACAGACCAAATTATTGGTTGCAAAGAGTATAAACAATGGGGTTTCTCAAACGGAAAAGGCAATTTAAGACCTTGAAGTTGGCTGCCCAGGAGACTTGTGGCTGGGAAAAGACTAGGAGAATTCTCTGCTAGTAGAAAACACTGGGAAAGGGGGAGAAGGGGGAGGGTAGCAAGGAACTCAGAAGGGCATCTTCTGTTGTAAGGAGGCAAGGACTAGATTCATCTCTTTAGTTCCCCTTACCTTGTTATTCTGAAAATGTTTAAACCTTCCAACAAAAAGTGATAAGAAGAGCACCATCTGTATACTCTTCCCCTACATTCACCAGTGGAAAAGCCATGTTGCTTTCTCTTACCCTTTCCCACCCCACCCACCCCCACCAAAGGTAAGTCAGAAACATGACTGCATTTCATCTCTGCGTCAACACGTTTCCTAAACAGACGTCCTCTACCTAACCTGTGATCTCTACTGTGATCACACCCAAGAAATTTTCAGGTGCACAATACCGCTAATGTATAGTCCCTATTAGTATCTCTGCCATTGTCCCAATGATGTCTTTTTGGCTTTCCTCCCCCCACCCTCCCGCCCCTCTGGGAGCCAGTTAAGATTCCTTCATTGCATTTGTCATGTCTTTTTAATCTTTAAAAAGGAGCCTCCCTTTTTTTGACTTCCATGTCATTATTTTTCAAAAGAACAGGCTACTTTTCTCAGAGAATATTCCACAGTCCAGACTTACCTGCCTTTTCCTTATGGTTATACTGTGGCATATTCGACAAGAAAAGTAATGGGAAATGTGAGCTTTCTCATTTGTTACATCAGGAGCATATGACATCAGTTTGTCCAACTATTGACAATACTCAGTTTAATCACTTGGATAAGGCGATATTCACCATATTTTCCCATTGCAAAGGTATCTTTTTTCTTATAACATGGGAAAATGTAGCTGTATCATAGTTCATAATATGGATTTACTATAATTTAACCATTCCCTTACTGATATTTAGATTGTTTCCAGTATTTCGGTATCATACACAATAGCAGTTAATGTCCACGACTATGTCTTTACATATGCTCAAGTATTTCTATAGAATAGATTCCAAGAGGTGGGATGGTTAAGTAATTGCCATTGATTCACTTTTCTGCAGTATCTTCCTCACACCCTTACCAATGCCAAGTATTAGCAATCGTTTTTGGATTTGCCAATCTGATGGGTAAAATAAGAATGGCAGCTTATTTTAATTACTGTTTTTCTGTGTACTAATGACCTTGTTAGTGCATGTTTGTTGACTACTAATTTCTTCTATGATTGCTCAGTTGTCTCTGGGTTTTGGAGTTTTGTTATGTTGTGTTTTGTTCTGTTTTAGTGGAGCTTTTAAATACAATATCCCTTGCTGTCTGAACCTTTGTTGCCCAAACTCTGGAATCGAATAGATTTAGATAAATATTTTGAGAAATCCCTTGCTATATGCACCCTCACTACTCTCCCTCCAAAATCAAATTGATTCAGATAAAAACATATCCCTCACTTTCCTGACTCGCCATCTAAATTCAGGATGCCCAAAGCAGGAGCCGAATAGAATGAGACAGAGAAGGAAACTTGTATTCTCCTACTAATCTGTGTTATACGTGTTACAGATCTTTTCTCCCTGTGTATTGTTTATTTTCCGACCTTATTAATATAGTTTTATACAATAAAAGGTTGTAAATGTTCATGTTGAATATCTTGTTTTCCTCTGTAAATTCTAGGTTTTGCTAGGTTGGCTTTCTCATCTAAGATTTTTTTCAATCTATTTTATTTTCTTTGCGATTATTTTTAGACACTAGAATATTTAGATATGTGAAATGTCAACACATTTTAAATAATACAGCCCTTATTATTAATTTTAAAGACCACCTTTACCATATACCAGATTCTTTTATACACACACACACACACACACACACACACACACACACACACGGATTTGTTGCTGTAACAGTGGTGCCATACCTTTTTAATAAATATTTGATACTAGATGAGAGAGTCCCTTGTTCTTCTTCAGATATTTCTTGTTTATTGTTGCTTAATTTTTCTTCCAGTTACATTGTAGCAGGAAAAAAAATTGACTTTATCCATTTATGCTTTTCCAGCAATATATGAGAATGTGCGTTTTCCCAAGTCCAGGAGAAAATGGGTCTGGAGTCGAGGTTGAAACTTGAATAAAACCTAGAAAAATTAAAGACAAATTATGTACCCTCTAACCTGATAGTTTTGTACGCTAAGTGTCACTCACATGTTTGCTTAATGAGCTTTAACTCAGTTCCCGTCTTCTGTGTGTAACTCTCTGCAGTCTGTCCTTTGAACCCCTTTCTCATTCATCCACCGTAATTTCATCTCACACCACTTATGTACATTTCCTTCCCATGCCCCTCCACCCCATCCGTCCCCGGAATTTTCTATCTGGGGAAATCTCATTTGTTCCTAAGAAAAACCCAGTTCAGGTATTACCTTTTCTGGGAATTTTTTTCATGCCAATTATAAGAAAATGTTCTAACCTTTGTGCTTCATGTTTATTCCTACATTATTATCAAACTTTGAGCTGAATCAGGGCATAATATGCTATACATGTCATATATATGTCTTTTTTAAACATTTTTCGAAAAGAATAAAATACCCCTGTCTTAAAGGAGCTCACCAGAGAGTAAAAGGGAATGCTTAAGATAGAAGAAAAATAGATATGAACGTAGATGTCTTGATTTTTTAAAAAGTCACTAACAGGAGAGCTTTTGTATTCATTTTTTCCACAACCTGACCAGATTTATATCTTATCGGCTTCTGCTCCAGGCCTTAGCTAATGTGCTTGTAAGCAAATCAAGACATTTGTTTTGCCCCAGAAAGGCCTTACCCAGGTGATATGTGGCACAGGCAGAGGCACAGAGATAGGACCAAATGGGTCGTTATTGTGGGAGTTTCAGAGGGGTGAGGAAAAATATCAAGAAATGGGATTAGAAAGGCCAATTTGGGGAGTAGTAGCTTCCTATCATATGAAGTTGAGTCGTACATGAACAGATATTCTGAATCTTTCCTTTCTCTCTTAGTACTGGATGAACGAGTACACCTCGTCCATTGGAATTGGAGTCTTTCATTCAGGAATTGAAGTATATGGCAGAGGTACGTGTACACACCGTCCAAATGTACTTTCTGAAGATTTTTTTGCTTTAAAGGAATTGCAAAATCAAAACTCTAGCTCTCCCTTTTCATTGTAACTGCTTCCATATCGCATTGCAGAAAGTAGAAGAGCCTCTCTCCTTATCTTTATGTCGCATTTTGAAAAAATGCCTAAAGTTGAATATTTGGGGGAAAAGTACCAAAGCACATGAGTGTAGGTTCATTTAGTTATCCTTAATTCTAAATATTATGTCTCAATATTTACCTCTTGAGATTGTTATACCACGATAGTTTTGCTCTGAGAACATGATAGAAACAATCATTTTGGTTGGGAAGGGTTGATTCTAGAGAGGGTCAAACTTGAAATACCAATTTCCTGAGGGAATTTCAGTACTTTGTTTTTGTAGACCATCAAATATATAGTTGTAAAGTTTTAAAATATCACTGAGCAAATCTGCCCTTGACCGCTCTAACTTTTTGCTCAAGAATGATGGCCTTTGTCATTAACTCAGCCCCTTTTAGTCTTTATTACCTTTTATCATGATAAACGTGACAGGAGCCACTTAAACCCAGCAGCTCTGTTTTCAACAGCTTTTCCCTTTGTTCTGCCCTCCACTCTTGGTGCAGGATAATTCAGACTGTAAGCAGCGATGTTCTGCACACAGCAGATCACATCCCGGTTGCACCAGGATTGTGATAATATATTAGTTTGAATCATAAACTCACCCTATAGCAGAAATGCCTTTATTCATTTCAGCGAGGCAGCCTTTGTCACCTCTTAGAATGTGTTATCGCCATTTATTTGGTTACCCCCCAAGACTGCACGCCAGCTTTAGCTAATACAAAGAAAAGGCTCGTTTACTTAAATGTGTCAGTATGGTGTTTTTATTATCCCTTTTTTATATTGCACATTAGCTGCTTCTAGGTGTAATGTAGCATATTAAATGCTGGCTGGAAGGATCTGCTATTTAAGCTTCATTTTTACTTGAGAGGCTGCATCTACCAAATACTCCCCAAAAAGCTGAGACTCCTGCTGGAAGTTTCAGTGGCAGGAGAATTGCTATGGGTGGGATCGTAGTCGGGGGCGTTTGCTCCTCTTCTGATTTGGCTTTTGCCAAAGCCGTGTGTAAATTCCTTCCTTTTTAACTGAATTCGTATGGTATGTTACAATTTTTAAAGTGCCATCAAGTTTTGAACCAAATGACCATGCTGCTGTGAGGTAGATAAGGGCATGTGGCATTTTCTCCATTTTTCAGATGAAGAAACCAAAGCTCAGACCTGCTGAAAGTTGTAAACAGCAAAGAAATAAATAAACAAATGAGAGGGGGGAAAAAAACCTGCTGAAAGTCATACTGCTCATATTAACAGGACTAGAACTTGAACCCAGGTTCTTACATACTAGTCTGTTGCTGTTGTGTCTTCCTAATCATTGCTGCCTTTCATAAAATGATTTAGGAGTGATTAGCAACATGGTCCAAAACAGGTCTCTAAGCTTAGCAAAGCCAGGGCAAAACATATTCCTGAAAGTGAACGATTGCTTCTCGAATAGAAGAGTAAATGGCTCTGTGGCTTTCCTTACTATAATTAAAAAACGTTAAAAATCCAAATATAATTTTCCCTTGTCTAACCTGATTTTTATGATTTGTCATAAAAAAAAATTTAATGTATATGTCAGAATTGAATGTTAAACACTTTATTTCTCGTTTATATCATTGCTTTTTTTATGAAAGTTCTGAATCAAAAGTAAAATTAGTATGTGCCTTGTTCCTTCTCACGCTTTGTTCTTAGACCTTTTAAGCTCATATTTAATGAATTTTAAGTGATGAGATTCATTTAAACAGTTGTTCGGAATTCTTTAAATAAGCCCACTAAGATTTGCCACTTAAATATCTAAGTATCTCGTATCAGAATTGTAGCCAGAAATTTTAGTTCCTTCCTGATCCGAAGTCAGTCTCCATTCTGTCCTGAAGGAGAGTTTGTATGTGACGAGCCTGGGTGTACGTTCCTCATGCTGCAGGCAGCTCCCACCCGGCTTAAAGATTTGCTGTGGAGAGTGCGTGAGTGTATGTGTTAATTTGGCAGTATATTTTTTCTCGAATGAGGGGAATTGAATTCAGTTTTCCAGTTTTGCTAGTGTTTCGCTCTTAGAGATAAACCAAGAGTCTTCAGCCTGGGTACCATGGAAACTCTTTATTAGACAGCTTTCCAGTAACGTACAAGTCTGAAATTTGATCGTTTTAGTTTAGAAAGTGGCGAAACACCGACTGACCACCTACTTAGTTTGCCCTGTCACTTTGGAGTGTCGGTCACTCTCCGTGCCAGCAAGAGCAAACTCAGCGTTACCTCTGAGCGTTTTTCATTATTAGAGTTTCAGGTCTTTTGTGTCAACTGTTCTGTACAAGCAATAACTGAGTGAGATGTTTGTGAAAGCGTTAATAAACTGGAAAATATTTAGTGTCATTATTATTTATCCTCATCATTCATAAAAGCTAATTCAGCATTCTGGTTAAGTTTTGTGTGATAAATACTAAAAATCATGAGTTTTCTCTTTTCAGAATTTGCTTATGGTGGCCATCCTTACCCCTTTTCTGGAATATTTGAAATTTCCCCAGGAAATGCTTCTGAACTAGGAGAAACATTTAAATTTAAGTAAGTAGGGAGGATAATTTTTATTACGCTGTTTTAGGTGCCAAAGCTTATTTTCAGGCATACGGAATTCATTCTATAGATTAAAATCCAGGAAATTAAAATGTTTCTTTTAACATTGCTTTAGTTGCTGACATTTTATTTTAAAATCAAATCTAAGTGGTTGTGTAAAGATGGGAATCAGCCAACACAATGCCTGAAATAACCTAGTCTGTTGCTTTTACCGAAGACCTGTATAAGTTATTCTGTCTCAAGTTCTGCTTTAGAAAACATTCATATCCAATGATTGCTTCTGTGCAGTCTCCTGTTTGGAGTGAGGTGGAGGAAAGTTTTATTGTGACCTAACACTATTAAAAAGCTCTTCTTCATTTTCCCAATGAAAGGGGTACTGTTTATAAATCTCAAAGAATTAGATAGTTGATTAGCCAGAAAACTGTTGTTAAAGTACATGTATTCCATGCAGTGATAAACCTAAAATATGTGGATATGAGTACATGGGAGCCTTATGAGTAGCAAACAGCCCTGAAACTCTGAATGCCAGTCGTCAAATTTCCATTCCTTGCTTAAGGTTTGTATTTAAAGGAATGTTTGGAACCTTAGTTTCAAGGAGAGTTAAAGAAACTTCTGGGCCTATAATAGGTGCCAAGTGAAAAATAGTGAATGAGGTTGTACCATTGAAATTCAGTGTAGGGCTACACACGTTCATCACTCCTGTGTTCGTGGTTCCCTTGGCCCACAGCGAATAGAAACACGTACCCCAGGGCCTGTAATGCCCTCCTGAATCTCTTCGCCAGGGCTCCCTGTCGGCAAGACTGCTGGATAAAAAGGTTTCCTAAGTATTCTCTGCTCTCTGGGATGCCTTACTCGTATCTGACTAAAAGTCCACCTTCTGTTGAATAACGTCTGTTGCATTTCCAGAGCAGTAGTTAGGGTGAGGGGTTGGTTTAGGTTGGGTTGGGGTTTTTTCTTGGTTTTATAGTGCTTTAAAAAAAAGAAAAGTAGTCGTTTGACAGTTCATCTCACTGCAACACAGTAGCAGATAAATTAAAAGATTATTTCTGAAGGAGAGTACGGCCCGCCGCCTGACGGCATGTGTGATCAGGCAGGAACATTTGCAGCATGCATCTCGTTCTCTAATAATAGAACTACTTACACAATAGTTGTAAAAATAACTCTGATATTACATTTTTAGTATAATGACATTGTTTTCTAAAGAAAATGTCTTATTTTGCATTTATATTGTTCAAAAGTAGTGTACTTAAGAATTTATTGCAGAAAAGTGGAAACTAAATTAACTGAAATTTTTTAAGTATCTCATGTACCTTTAATATTACGTTAACCTTGCTTTGTTACATCAATCATGATATTCCTGGAAATAAGCAAGTCATTCAGCATGCTTTGTATAAATACCTAAAACTCACACAGCTATGTTTTTTTTTTCTTTTTCTTTTTTCTTTGTGTTCTTTAAGAGAAGCTGTTGTTTTAGGGAGCACTGACTTCCTAGAAGATGATATAGAAAAAATTCTAGAAGAACTGGGAAAAGAATACAAAGGCAATGCCTACCATTTGATGCACAAAAACTGCAATCACTTTTCTTCAGCTTTATCAGAGGTAAATTAGATTTTATGCTACAAGCTCTTCAAATAAATAAGATTTATTTATTTGTCGTATAAAATATGGTATTATGTTTCTTTCTCTTGCTTGAATAACCTTTCTAGAGTTGGAGACTTTAGAGTCAGCACAGCTTTCAACTATAATTACATTCATGGCTTTGCAGTGGGTAGAGAGTGAGTACAAATAATTGTCTCTCTTATTTTAATTCATTTTATTACAATCTGAAACTTCCACTTTAAAAAAGTTAATGCCCAAGAGACTTTTGCTTCTTAGACACTAAGATTTCGTTTTTCCTAAATTTTAGTTGCCAACTGGAATTTTTTCCTGGCTCTTACTTATTAATAAGTAATCCATTTCTCCTATCTCAAAGTTATTTTGCCAGCTTATCACACAGACACTTTTTTGCCTTCCTGATTCTTGAATCCCAGGCAAAAGACCAAAACTAGATCAAAATTATAGAACCTTCAAAAAAGAAAACAGAAGAAAGCAAAAGATTATCAGATAAGGGCTAGAGAATTAAATAGTGCTTGAAAGAACTCCCCAGCTGTCTCAGAGCAGCTGGTTGCAGTGGCAGCATCAGGTACCACAGAAATGACGAAAGGTGGCAAGGAGCATGTGGGCTGCTCTTTCAGGGACCTCCTCTGCGGGGTGCTCAGCTGCCTGGCCCTTTTCACTTCCCTCATGACTTCCACACAGAGCTTTCGAACAGGGCGATAGGGGACCACTGGTGTGCTTCGCAAAGTACATTTCAAGGATCAGCAGCATCAGCATCACGTAGGAATTTGTGATATGCATTGTCTCTGCCTCACCGCTAATACACTGAATCCGAGTCTTCGTTCTAACATGCTCCCCAGATGCTTCATGGGAACATGAGGGTTGGAGAAGCAGCGTCAGTCTTGAGGATGCAGATACCGGTTGACTTTCAAGGAAGAGGGAAGGTGGTTCTGAGCTTTCTCGAACCTAGACATGACATTTGTAGGGAATACATTCAGAGATCCATAGAATGCTAAAATTGGCAGAGACATCAGACAGCATCTAATCCAGTCTCCTCATTCTACAGCCAGGAAGTGGGCCCTGGTTAGAGAACTGATTTGTCAGAGATTGTTGTGGAGAGCTCAGGTTAGACCCCGACTAAGTCCAGGGCTTGCGTTATACTTTGTCATTACTTCCTCTGGCTTCGATTTATTCTCTCCCCCGAATAAATTAATAGCTTTACTGAGCATCTCTAACACCAACCACCTCAGCCCTGGTCTAACCCTGAAACCACGTCACATTTGGGAGTCCAAACAGTAGTTCTGATGTCCCTGGAGCTGTCTTTTTAGGTCACACACAGTCTTCATGCCTTCCCCGTACGAGACTCAATAGTTACGTGACTTAGCAGCTCACTAGTGACAGAGCTGCAATGAGCACTCTGGACAGCGAGGCACATGGGGAGCTATTTCAGTAAACCCCACATAATCAGGGCAGACAGATTTAATGATTGGCACTCTCAAGTTTATGAATCTAGTGCGCTTCTATATCTTTGAGGACAGAGTTTGGAGATACATAATACCAGTCGCAGATAATCATAGCTATAATTATAATTGATTGTTGATATATGTACTGTGTTCGGCATTCTAAAACTTCTAAGAATTATCATCATTTAACATCATAGTTATCAGTTCACATACTTCCTCTACAACAAGAATTTTGTGCGGGCCTGCAAGCTAATGATGGTTTTTACATTTTAAATGGTTGAAAGCGAACATGAAAAGGCATCTGTACAGTGGCGTGTGCAGATGATGTGTAACGCTCAGCTTCCGTGTCTGGGAAGTGTGACTGGAGCACCTTCTCGACCGCCCTCGGCCGCAGCATCTGATTCAGAAGGGCCTGAACAATGAGGAAACCTGTTATCTCACGACAGAGGAAATCCAGAACAAGGCAGGCCCCCTGTCGGCGTGGTCAGTGTCTCAGCAGTGCATGGCATCAGTGGCCTAAGGTCTTTTCACCTCCCTGAGCTGCCACCCCCAGGATGCCGGCTCCTCCCTCAGGGAAGCCGCGGCGTTTTCATGCACCACGTCGGGTACCTCGACATCCAGAGGAAGAAGAACGCTCGGTCTCTCCCTTAGTTCTCTGAGCAACAGTGAGACGTTTTTCCGGAGCCTCCCGCCCTTTCCAAAATGGCCCAAACTGGGTCCAGTGCCATTTCCAAACCAGTCACTGGCAAGAGGAGTGGCCTCACCATTTCTAAAGGCCACCGGTCCAAATGCCTTCTGGAAGTTAATATTTTAAATGGAAAATTCAAGATGTGTAAAAGTAGAATAGTGTAAGGAGCCCCTGTATACCTATCACTTAGCTTCAGAAGTTATCTTTTCATGGCTAATCTCGTTTCACCCATAAGCACCCACTTAAAAATGCCACTCTCGTCCCTCGGTTACTTTGAAACAAATTTCAGGTATAATTTCACTCCATTTGTAAACACTTCGCTCTGTAGCTCTGAAGATAAGGATTCTTTTTAACATAACCGCAACACGTTATCACACCTAAAAAGATTAACATTCGTTCCTTGATGTTATCCAAGTATACAGTGTTGAAATTCCCCCGTTGTCATAATTTTTTAACAATTTGTTTGAATCAAGATCTAAATAAGGGCCATGCCGTGAGGTATAATCCGGGCTGCTGACGCAGAAAGGGCTGCTTGCAAGGCTGGTCCGTGTGTTTCCCACCTGGAACTGTCCATCAGTAGGAAGTGCGGTGGTTTGGACTTCCTTGAACACGCAGGTTTGGACTGCGCAGGCCAATTGAAAACCTCCACGTGTAAGTGGGAGCAGTTCCAAGCCGAGGTTAAGGGTCAGCTGTACTTACAAACCTTAATCCGAGCATCGTAGTCGCTCACTGCTACTGAGTTGGTGGTAGTTTCTAGATTTTTTTCCTGTGGACAGAGCTAGGACTTTTTTTTTCGTACAGGTTCATTGTGGTATTTCTGCTTCAAATTCAGGCCTTAGGGTTTTTACTTAACCTCATCAATAGTACATCTAGATCTTCTCTGTCCCAGATGTAAAATCTCAGTTCTCAGCAGCGGCATAGTTGCTCATTTGTTCGATCCCTGGAACGATAGTGTCATCACGACCACCAACAGTATGATAACTGGAAAGGTGATGGCTTTTTGCACTGACTGTCTTTAGAGTATCATTCAGTAGAGGTAACAGTGTTTTATAGTTAATTGGGGTAATTTGTTGCTGTGTGGTTATGCCACCAACTTTGTTTCATTTAGCCCTTTTTTTGGTTGAGGGAGGTTGCTTTTTTGTTTAATTTAGTGTTATATAAAATTTTCCTAGCGTTCCAAAGTCAAATCTAAAGTAAACAATGTGTTCATAGACGTCTGGCTTCTAGATGTCCCCGCCCCTCTACCTGGGCCTCTAGAACTGTAAAAGAGAAGAACGAGTTGTCTTAAGGCACAGTTTCTGATCGTTGTAGAGCAACCACAGGGACCCAGTACAGATGCCGGTCCCTGGAGGTGGGTGCTGCTGTAACAAACACCTACAAGTGTGGACGTGGCTTTGGGATGGGCTGATAGGTAAAGGCTGGAGCAATGTTGAGGAGTTCGATAGGAAAAGCCTACATTTCCTTGAACAGACCGTTAGTAGAACTTTAGATATTAAAGGTACTGCTGCTGTGGGCTCAGAAGAAAATGAGGAACATGTTATTGGAAACTGGAGGAAAGAGAATCTTTGTTATATAGTGGCAGAAAGCTTAGCCCATTTATCCTGTAGTTATGCGGAAAGCAGAACTAAGCAATAAACTTAGACATTTAGCTGAAGGTATTTCTAAGCGAAGTGCTAGTGTGGTTTCTTCTTGCTGTTTATAGTAAAACACAAGAAAGATAAATTGGGGGGAGAACTGTTAAGCAAAAAAGGAATCAGCACTTGATGATTTTTTAATTTCTCAGCCTATCCAGATTGCAAAAGATGCTAAAATTAGGGGTTTTACTGTTAGGAAAGCATACGGTGGAGAAAAGGCCAAGCGTATGACTGGATAACCTTTTGCTGCTGCTGCTAAAGAGATTAAACATGTGATTGATGGATCCTGTCCACCACCTCAGCGGAAACAAGGAATAGAGATGGACTTTCCAGGGAAGACCTGTGGAGGAAAGTCCATCTCTATTAGAGTCTAATAGAGTAAATCCTACGACATACATGGGAGACTCACGGTGCTTTTGAGGATGTTGTATTAGCAGAAACCGTGCCAGTTTAAACTGAGAGGGACAGAGAGGACAAAATGAAAGCGGCTCTTGGACTCTCAAAATGCTACAGGTAGGAAACAGTCTGGAAGAAAGGATAATTTCTGGGGCCCAGAGGACTGAACTGAGGGTCACCCAGGTTAATGCCAGGCCTTAAACCTAATGGAGGGTGCCCAGTCAGAGTTCGTAACTGCTTGGTTAGCGATCTCTTTCTTCCGTGCTCTCCTCTTCGGAACAGAAGGGTCTGTAACTTACTCTGTGCCTGTCCACATCACGTTCTGGGAGCGCCCTGCACGTGCCTTTCTGCAGTTCGCTTTGTTCACGTCACGTGATCTCCCGGAGTTCATTCTGTAGCAGTGTATAGGGATATTTCTCATTTCTTTTCACAGCTGAATAGTCCTCATGTGGATGCATCAAATTTTAATCAGCCACTTTACTATTAATGACATTTGGGTGATTTTTAGTCTTTTGCTGTTACAAAAAAGTGCTGCAATGAATACCCCTGTGCATACTCCTTTTCATGTTGTTGCCTGTGTGCCCCTGGGATGGATTCCTAGAAGAGGGGTCACCAGGGCGAAGCTTAAATGAAAAGCAGTGTTCGTGCATAAACCAAGTATTTTTTTTACCACGGCCCACAGTAAGAAGTATGTTTTACATTATGACTCAAGATATACACATAGGTAACATAACCAAATCAGCTGTCACAGTTACACTACTACCTACAATCTATTTTATTTTTAAAATTCAACTTACAATGCAGAATGACCTACTAATGGATCATGACTCAAAGTTTAAAAGATACTGACTTGACCGAGGATCGGCACACTTTTTCCAAACGGGCCAGATAGTATTTCAGGCTTGCGGATTATTCGTGGACTGGACTCTGCCTCTGCCATTGTAGCCCAGGAACCATAGATGATAAATAAATAGGCATGGTTGTGTTCCAGTAAAATTTTATCTGCAGAAACAGGAGGCTTATAGTTTACAGACTGTTTTAGGCTAATCAACTTACACCCCCAGGGGTTGGGATAAAGTCAGCTTCCCTTGCAGCACATGGCTATATGGAAGAAGGTAGGCCGCTGAATACAATAAGGACTTAGGAAGTAGAATGAAGGAAACGCCTTTGGAATATCTGCTACATTAACCTACATGTTCTTAGTCACCACTCTGTGGTTAACTTTCATCTATGCAAATAGCCCTAAATGTGTCTTGGGTGTAAAATATAATATAATAGTTGTTTGTCTGTGTTTTTTAGAGTAGACAGATGGGAATGATATCATATAGGGGGAATAACCTTTAAGGCATAAGGCTAAACTGTTAGAAAAGTTGCATTGCTTAATTACAGATGTCACCTTATTTACATATTAGCTAATTTGAGGACATAAGGTACTTTGAAACCTCTTTCCCAAGTCATCAACTAAGGTAGATGGTACTTCTAGATCCTACGATCCTACTTTTTGACATACTTGGAGATAAAAATGCCACAGGGACAGTGGAGTGTGGACTCAGTTAAGCCCAGTTGTCTGTAGAAGGGAAGGAGGGTGACAGGGAGCAAAGCTGCCCATAAAGGGCCTGGTTCTCACTGATGGGAGGAGGCGGGGCTCAGACCCCCCAGGACAAGAGAAGCATAGGACGCGGGAGAATGGCTCCTCCTGCCCCCATTCCCACCTCCACCGCCACTCGTGAAGACGGCACACCGAAGCTCAGCCAGGCCACAGTCCCCTTCCACAGTCTCAGAGCCAGGTCACCACCTGGGGAGATACTTCTTTCTGGACCAGCGTGAGCTTCTTGGGAAAAGTGGGTCAAGGACAGAAGCAAAGGGATAAAATGCGGACCAGGAAAAGCGGAGCGATGGACGCTGGAGGGAAGTAGAATCTGTGGAAGAGGAGAATTCACGGAGAGGATGGCATCTGACGTTGACTGCTCCGCCTGCTGGGAGCTCCCGTTACTCTAATCAGACCTCGTGTTAACAAGAGTCTTGTCTTCTGTGTTGTTCAAAGTACTTCATGTGTCTCAGAGCAGTTGCAAGGATCAAAGAAGGAAAGCCAGATGGAATTAGCTCAGTTTTACAGATGCGAAAAGAAAGCGACTTGACAGGCTTCTTCAGAGAGGAAAGCGGGCAGCTGACAGTAGGGACCCCAGGCTCCCACGCTAAGGAGCTGTTTGTTTTCAAAGGCCCAGAGTCGCATCCCCAAAGGCTAGGTTGCAGTGGCTCTTCTGAACGTCCCGCCCTCCCCCGCTCCTTGGCAGGGAGCCAGATGGCCTCCACCTCTTCCTAACATCACTCTCTCTCCTCTAGATTCTTTGCGGGAAAGAGATTCCTCGCTGGATCAATCGACTTGCCTACTTCAGCTCCTGCATCCCCTTCCTACAGAGTTGCCTCCCCAAGGAGTGGCTCACGCCCGCAGCCCTGCAGTCCAGTGTCAGCCAGGAGCTCCAGGACGAGCTCGAGGAGGCGGAGGACGCTGTCGCCTCCGCTTCCATGGCAAGCACTGCAGCAGGCCCCCGGCCCGGGCGCCACACCAAACTATAAATGTCTCCAAAGTCACACATTCAGAACTGTCTCTGGCAGTTGAATATCACTGGAGGAAAGTAAAAGAGTAAGCGTCCTTTGGATGTTTTGTATGCAAAGATGGCTCTCCCCCAAGTCCCAGTTTTTCAGCTCAGGATTATATTTGTAATCAAATCACTTGGCGCAGGAGGGAGAACTTTGTATGAAGCTGCCCTCTGTTTTTTTTACCCACTTGTAAATTTGGATTTACTTCTTCTGTTTTATACAAGCTCTGTTAAGTTATGTTTACAGTATTTTGTATCGCTGTTTACAAATCTTGCATGGACTCCTGCCACCGTGAAAGAAGAAAATCTTCATGTCTTCAGAGATGAGGCAGGTAACCTTCGTACACTTCTGACAATTGCCAGAGCTATGGCATAAATACTAGGCACACAGAAAGGTACTTACACAATTGTCGTCCCGTTACCTGCTTCAGATTGTCTTTTAGGTCAGCGTTCACTTTTGTCGAGGTGTTGGCACAGGATGCGGAGAGGTCAAGGGGCACACGCAGCCCTGAGGGCTCGGAACCTTGTCTGCGGGAGAGCTGGCCGGACCTCGGGCCTGGTTCCTCTTAGCACCCCGCTCCCGCCCGCTCCCAGTGGCCCGTCCGAGGTCCTCATCGAGCGGTCGCTGTCATCCCGGTTGTCCGTCCACCTAGGCAGGGTGGCACATTATTGTATCCGTCTGGCTTCGATGCCTCTGATTCTGTAATTAAGATGTTTTTCGTTATATTTTTGCTAGTAACTGACAAGAGGTTTTGCACATGTGTTGGGAGGGGCTTCATTGTTATTTTACTACATATCGATATCCTCCCTGCACAGGATTTTATTGATGAGGTAGGAGTATCCTAAATGGTAGCCTTCTGAATAGCAGTATGAGTTGACTTTCAACTGCTTTTAATTCTTCAGGCTGCCTTTTATACTAGACCTTAGAAACTAGTTAGAATAACACACTCCAAAAGTAATTCTTTGATATTTCAAACATTTTATGTACCAGGTAAGAGTATGTTGAGTTTATTAGTTTGTTTTGGGAGTAGTTTCACCTCACAATAGAAAGCCTAGTCTCATCGACTTCTTATTTAAAAATCACATTTGGGCATCTTAGAATCCATCTTTTTCTCTTCTCTCAAATGTATGTCTCTCATATAACATACTCTAAGGATGAAATAGAGGTAGTCACCTCGTTTGCAAGGCAACGGTCTGCTCAAGTCCACTCCCAGTTTGACCTTGGGATGTAAGAGCCAAGTCATTACATGTCACATTCGATTTTTCTGCCTTAAGAATGACTGTCCTACAGAAAATACTGGATGCAGTGTAGAAATTATCGAAGGCAGTGACTTCAGCTTTATATATATTGTTAGTTTTAAAGTCATCTACTTTTATTTAAACTTCTAAATAGCTATTTCTCTTTGTAAAGATACGTATCTTTTAGTAAACTACATTTTTTACCTTTTCCATAAGCTGATTTTGATTCATTTTATCAACTTAAGCGCACCCTGTTCACAGGGAAAATAAACCTTGAGTTACAAGCATTGACCTGAGGAAAAGGAAGCCACTTAACTAATTTATGCTTGACTGTTCTCTTTCTGGAGGGGAAGCCTCTACAAATTACTCTCAGATCTTTAGTGGGGGCAGAGCGCTTGTTTGAAGAGATGACAGAAGAATATATGACCTTCGTGAAAACTAGACTTGGTTCGGGTCTAAAAGTGAGATTTAGAATAGAACAGTAAGACTCTAGCAGTGAATTTGTTCACTCAAGAGTCTTATCAACAAAACCCAGGTTAGTGAAAACTGTTTGCTTTTTTTTTTTTTTTTTTAATAATGTGATAGGTTAGTTTTTTCTAATGCATCCGGATGTACGTGACTTAAAGCTGGGCTACTGACACGTAAAGGAGTGGCCATCCGTTAGAAACTTCTTGGTGAAAAGCCAAGAACATCTCATCTGTACTTTTCCAGAATCCAGCACCTCAGCACACAAACGATTTGTTATTTTGTTGTATTTACTTCAATCTGCAGCATTTGGAGTTTTAAAATAGTGTGAAGGGTCCTAGTAGAAGTAAGTCGTGGCCTGTGGCCAATTATCACATTAACAGCAGATAAAATTCTGGAAGCGAGATCGCTTAAGGTTGAGAAATAAAGAAATTTAGAAAACTTCATTTGACTCTCTGCGGTTCAAAACTGAGAATGGGTTTAATTAACTAGCATTTAGCTAGCTTTTCCTTGCCGTTAGAGGCAAAGAATCTTGTTTTCTATCTGATCTCTGTTAAGAAAAATTCCATATAGAAATCCAATCATTGAGATACATGTGACATGGTGGAGTCAGAGATTCTCTTTGTAGCTGCAACCAAGTGAACGAAGCCTGTTTCTCATGGGTTGGGCAGTGATAGAGCATGAGAGGGTCAGAAGCTGCTGGTCTCTACCGTTTGTTTTACATGCTCTTGGGGTTTTTTCCCAACCCTACTAAGGGGGCGTCAGCTTTGGGAAGAGTGGCCTGTGAGCTGTAGAAGGCAGTGATGCGGTAGTAGAGAGGGAGCCTCCGCCCGATGCCTGACGTCCAGCCAGCTGTTGGCCTGACCCACAGCAACGGCGCGAGTTACTTCACCAGCATCTGTGCAGAGCAGGGAGTTCTGATCTCGACCGATCGCTGGCGTGGCGTGTGTGCGGGGCCAGCACCCCAGACGGCGGCCGGGCTCGTATCCGTGGCTTCTTTCCATCACCGCGAGGCGGGTGGAAGCACATTCACTGCTCCAGGGTTCTCATCTGTGCGTCGTCTCACGGCTCCGTTTCTGTACGATACCCCGGCTTCGGTACGTGCCGTCGTCATTTCCCGCGCGGTGTCACAGCGCAGCTCCGTCACTAGACTGTCGTTGCCTACTCAGTCAACACACATGCGCTTTCACTGTGCGGAAGGTGTCACCGCTGTTAAAGAATCTTCATGAACCTGGAGATAATTTCTTGTGAAGTTGAATGCAACTGTACTGTCATTCATAGTGTTTATATGAAAAATACCGGGAATCTTCACTTTTGCTACCTTGGAATAGCCTTGGGCTATCATGTTATCAACATTGAAATACATCGATTTATTAAAAACTACTTTTATAAGAAATACTTTCTAGTGCTTTCTGACCTCCAGGAGATGACGACTGTTACGTATTTGTGTCGGGGGTGGGAGGTCACTGTTAAAACCCGAGACTCTCATCTGCTCTGCAGAGACATGGCCAGCCCCGCCCCATCGTGGATTCACCTGTGCGTTTCTCCCGTGAATTCCTCTTGAGTTCAAGTCTATGGGCCAACTCCTTAGCTGCCCAGTAGAGCATAACCACACCCCGTCACAGGCAGCGGGTGCCAGCCCCAGCTTCTGGGGGATGTAGGCGAGGCTGGGAAAAGGGAAAATGCCCTCTCCTCCCCACCAGCGGTGTGGGGGAGGCCTGCAGAGGGAAAGCCCCCCACCCATGTGCCACGCGCCCCCACCTGGCAGCATCCAGCGTTCAGGAGCCTGGGTGACTGGCCTCGCCTCCCACAAACTGGAGCGCCTAGTCCAGCGTATTTCCCCCTTACTAATTCAAAACTTCTCGTATTAAGAACAGTTAAATAAATAGTGGTCCCTTGCGGTCTGTCAGCGCCTGCTCACTCTCTGCTAAGTAGGAATGATCTGTTCTCGCCTGCAGGACAGGAACCAAAGGGAGACTCTCCCCCCCACCCCCGCCCCCGCCCCATTCTAAATGGATTCCTAATAGGTAAGTTGGTCACAAACTCTAATCTGGTAAAGCAGCTGGTCTTGCGTGCAGAAAGGGTGCCAGATATACCAAGGGACAATAGTCTTTTTTCCCCCATTATTTGCTCCTAAAGTTCACCTTATCATCCAGATATCGATTGACCTTCTAAGTTTGCAAAAAGTCTGTGCTAATAAAGACTAATGGCTCCATGCTATGCTTCTCAAGAAGTAAATTAATGGGCCGCTCCTTATTTCCTTATGGATTCTGAACTCAGAGACTTGCCGAGGCCTCTCCAAGCCTCCCCAGCCCTTCTTCAAACAAAGAAGCCAAAGAGGGTCAAGCCTTGAGCCTACACTGGGTGGGAACTGAATAGTTTCCTTCTTGTTGAGGCCAAGGGGAAACTGAAGAAGGGCCCCCACTCAACCGGACCGGGGAAGCTTGACTGGCGCAGCTGTGCCCTGCAGCCCTGCTTCACGGTCCCACTGAGAATGTACCCCTCCCAAGCAGATGCGGGGAGTAGAGCCATGTTCCCTGAGCTCTTCCCTGACACCTAACCTCTTGGGAACGACTGCCAGGTTCTACCAAACACTCCAGCCTATTTAGCAGGCCTCAGGGGAGCCATTGGCTGCCAGGCCGTTTCCTTCCCACCCGTAAGTCCCAGTGATCAGTGCCCAGGCAAGCCGCACTGAGGGAGCTACATGTCTCAACAGGCTGTGCTTAGAGCCTCGCAGACAGGCGGACTCGGGGATGAAGTTACCAAAATCACTAAACCAGACCCCTGGGGGGAGGAGGGAGGAGGGGTCTGCGCTGGAAAAGGCACATGCATTGGACAGGTCACTGAAAAATGAGTCAAAGAAAAAAATCCAGTCTACCTAGGACCCTCTGTCTAGGTGGCCGTTTATCACACACACAGAGAGGAACTGGGATTTGCAGGTCACTGGAATAAGAGAAAAGGAGCCAGGGTTGCCAGACTCAGCCCCGAACAAAGACAGGAAAACTTTCTGCCGCCTCTTCCACCTGGGTCAGCGACACCAGAGACTCCCTAGCAGTGGCCCCTGGCAGGCCGTCGATAATCCATAGAAAGCCAGTGTCCCCACAGATATAGAATGGCTGTCACCTTAAGTCTGGAAAGACTGTTTAGTGGACAAGACAAAGGAGAAAAGGGAAATCCTCTTACTGTGCCCTTGCTGTGCACTTCCGGGCAGCCTGTGACATTCCTGCTTTACGCAAAGACAATTGGAGGTTATTAGCCCAAGGCCACCCAGGTGGCATAGGGAAAACCCGTATTTGAACCCAGCCAATCAAAAAGCTCCTACTCTTTCTATTCAAGCGTTTTCTGAACTGGACAATCCCCAGGCCGCCCCAAACCTACCGCATCAGAATCCGCGTTTCACTAGATCCCCGGATGATTTACGTGGACGTTAAAGTTTGAGCATCTCTGCTCCAGGCCGCAGCACTCAGTTCCGTGCTGTTCAAGCCGCCTCTGCCATGGGAGGGAGAGTTTCCTAGACGAGGTGGCCGTCCGGCCGCCTGGACACACGGACGTCTGAAGGACCTGGTGTTTAGTCCCCCTCCGAAATTCAACAGTGTGGAATGATTTTCTGAATTTTTTCTCAGTTTTTCTGAATCCGTATGAATCAAGGAGTACTCCAACAAACATGAAGCATGAACTTGAACCCTCTGGAGGGGTTACAAGTAGTTTCCTCGGAGCCCCCGATCCGTGCACAGGGGAGTCTGGACCGATGTTTGGGTTGATTGTCTACTTCACGTGGGGGACCATCAGAGCTGCACGCCCATCGCTCCGCCAGCCCGGGTTATTTACTTCAGTCAGCACTGAAGTCCCGAGAGATCCATCGCCAAATCCTCGTCCCCAGCTCCTCCTCGGGCCAGGCCCCCTACTTACCCTTACTAGTCCCTCTTCGGCTGTGCCTTCCAGAACCCCCAGTCTATGCCAGGTGAGTGCCCAAGTGGCCTTCACTTTTTCAAATGTTTCTTGGCCTCTCGACTTTATCTGAGACCCGGCTTCTCCCTGCAGGGGCTCTGTCCCCATCTCCCATTGTTGCTCCTAAACAATGTCACCTCTTTCCTTCTGAACTTCCGGTCCCGTGCTGTCCAGTCCGGCCAGCGGCTTCCTCATTGCCATCATCTGCTCCCCTTCCTCCCGCTCTGTCTTCCTCTACCCCTTTTCCTGTCATCATTCTCAGTGACACCACATTCACACAGATGACCCACCCAGTCCCCTAGCCCAGTGTTTCTCACCGGGGGCTCTGTTGCCATTTGAAGTGGCGCATACATACCTTGTGCTAAGACAGTCCTGCCATTACGAGATGTGGCATCTCTGCGCCCTGTCCGTTAATTACCAGCATTTTCCCCCCGTCACAGTCATTGCCAGATCAAATGTCCCCACACACTTTGCCCCCAGGGGGTGGGCAGTTCTGTCCTTGCTTGAGAACCACTGTCAGTGTCTCAGCCTCTTGATCTCTTATTTCTGCCACGCACTCAAACCTTAGACTTGTCACCACCAGTAACTGCTGAAATCTTCCTTTGAAACATCTTCTCCCACTAACCTCTCAGCCCACTCAAGTTCCCCGCACTGCAACGTGTCTTTGACCTAATCAAGACCCCAAAACCATTAAGCCTTGCACTCGTTTGACTCATCACCTCCCTCTTCCACCATGATTTTTCTTCCCGCCCAGCCTAAATTCCGTACTCGATGATTAAATCACCTCCTCTCACGGCCCTCCACATCTGTGCCCCTCTCTCCCTTCATCATCATGACCTGGCGACCCCAGCCCTGTTCGGACCAGACTCCTGTGCGTCTGCGCCTGACCAGCTGAATGTGGCTGAGCAAAATCACTCAACTGGGCTAACGGGTTTGACCTCAACGTTCCTATCTATAAACCTCAGACACCTGACGCCACGGCTTGCTGCAGTTCCCCTGTGAGTCTGCTTTCCCACGTCCTGGGTGACACTTCATACCTGCCCTCTCTTCAAATTCTCTGCATGTTTCCCACACACATTTCAGTTGAGAACCTCACTATATACGTCACTGGAAATATAGGGACAATTTAGCCAATTGACCTCTGTCTTAGGGGGAAAAAAAAACAGTTTTCCCTCTTCTGTTTCTC